TTTTTCATTTTCCACGAACGCGAGTTGTCCTTGAGTCACCAAGATAAATAGTTTCTTCTCCTTCCTCAATTTGGGTGTAAGACAAAAATTCATTTTTGTTTGCACAAATGTGCATAGTAGCACCAAAGTCTATCACCCAATCTCTCACATTGGTCACATTATTTATTTGGAAAATTACCGCAATAACTATATTATCCGCTTTAGTCAAATTTAATTTTGACTTAGCGAGATTATCATAACTCTTCTCTTGCATTGAAATGCATTTTTCCGAAGATTTTTATATTAGCATTAAAGATGTAACTATGTCTATTCACATACCTGTATTTTGACATTAGTGTCTGCCAAAGTTGTGGGTGCAATAACGTATTTGCAACACCATGGATATCTGGCAGGACAGTTAGAACAGTAGCAGCGGAGACAACACAAAAATTGGTAGCACCATCAAAAATTTCCATAGTAGTATTACTTGCCGTAGTTTCTTAGATTGTAGGGAAATGACACCCGAAAAATAACAACAATACTGCAATAATATTATTTGTGAGCAGAATTACACGAATTGGCTTGAGTCGTGCTGGGCACTGGCCTAAGAAACTATTTTAGCAATGTGAAATATTTTCTCAGGATTAAACAAGCTTACCTCTATTTATTTAGAAGACACACGAATCAGCAAAATTAAATAATACCAGCAAGTTTGGAATGATGAAATAAACATAGGTTATAAAAGAAATTGGAACACACAAAAAACTAGGCTTAATTGAGAATGAGAAGGCTTGTAGTGATGATTACTAATTATTAGCAATCACGAGAGAACAAAATATTTGTTGGTGTGTCTTCGGATGGTATAGGAAGTGGGTATTTATAGTTGTAAGAATTGTGTAAGAAAATGACAAGTGTTCATCTACTTGTCAAAAACTTTTTATACAAAGAAACATTTGGCGGGGGCTCTATACACTTGGCCATAGCATCAAGGAGATCAAGCCACATAACTATTTGTGTAGCCACTTGTCCACAAAAATATTGAAATACTACCACAATTTTGTCATGGCCTTTTGTCATCTATTAGATTTTTGGTTCATTCTCCATTTATATCCTTGTTATTAGCAAAATATCTTGTATTTATCTGTTATTAATGTAGCTTCAACTAAAATGGGTAAACTCCACGATTTCAAATTTATTCATCAACTTTCGATTATAGTTTAAATTAATCTTAAAGTAGGAGATTTGTTGGAAATTATGGCAAAAAACAAGACTTTTTTACCCAACAACGAAAATAATATTAAAACAAAAGTTTAACACAAGGCAAAGTTGCTCAATCTATGATGCATAGGGTGACGCTTTCCCCGTTGAATGAAATATCTTTATTGAGAATATCTAATCACCCATAATATATCATAATCAGAAGTTACAAAAAGATACCATACAACCCTTTGATCCAACACCTGATGGATCATTACAGAAATTCCAACCTTTTCATCCCATGAGCAAAATTTCATTTTTTGCAGCAAGACACAATGTGGTGATATATAAAATCTTTCAAGACGAGAGGCGACATCAAAATTATCGTACTATATTATAAGTGTGAAGCATTTAGTGTGAAATTGAAATACCAAAATAACCTTATAAAATTAAGTAACAATAATACTCTTCAAAAATAAATAAGTTATTTCTTCATGAACTTTAAACCAGAATTTTCATTTATACTAATGTACAAAAACGTTCCATAATAAATACTCCTAAATCCTAATAGTGCAGTTGCATTCATGCCATTTTCATATTCTTCTAACTTTTTTACTTATTTCTTTCATTTATATGTTATGTATTAATAACGCACAAAATCACTACATATATTCTATTAAATCTATATTTTTCTCACACTGAGCAGTAATTGTTTTTCTTACTATCAATGAATTGAGAATACTTGAACGACTATATTTAAAGTATATATATATNGAATCACTGAGGCTGGATATGAAAAGCTCTTGAATGAGGCAAAAAAGAAGGCGGACCTATACTAATTAGTATAAATATTTTAATAAAAATATTGTAATTAGTGTGTAATGAGTTGCGCAAAAATTAAAGAAAAAAAGTGCAAGCTCAAACCAATGGCGAGCCTATTCAAAAGATATTTATTTTCATTGCAAGGCACAATCATACTGAAAATTTGCTATCAACTTAATTTTAAAAGTAACATTCGAACAACTTCAATTATGTAGCTTCTTATAATATATCAAGTATTTAACTTGATAGTAATTGCTTTTTTTTTAATATGCGAACCACACATAAATGCCGGCTATGATTACAAATGTTTCATGTAAAAATTCTGCCTTCTTTTTAAGAAATTGTTGGCTCCGCCTTTTTTACAGCCGTACACATATCAAGGATATAATTGTATTATGAAGTATACAATTATGTGTCAGATGTTGTTAGTGTAATATTTTTTGCACTCCTTGAAAAATATACACCCTATTATATCACGATAAATATAATGTCTATTCGTTTACAAACTTAATTTTTAATAATCAGAAAAGAATTGACAAACACAAAAGACGTGAGAATAATATTACAATATATATGTGATAAGTAACATGAAATTTGAAGAATGAATTTACAAGCTCTCTAGTGGAAGATGAAAGAAACAAACTAAAATGTGCTTCTAAGATAATAAATAAGAAAATTTATAACCTTCAATACTATTAGTGTGGAAGATGAAAAAAACGAAACTGAAATGTCAAAACAGTACTAACTAATAATTAAGAAAATTTATAGTAGCTAAGAAGCCGCTTTTTCCCCTATGGACAAACTCGTTAGTTAGTTTTTAAAAGGTATGATTTCACTAAATTAACTTTAGATAAGTAGGGCATTTTGGTCATTCAGTGTTTGAAGGATATTTAAGTGCAATAAATCTAAAAGTTTTCATGCTTATAATATACTCTCTCTGTTTCAATTTATGTGAACTCATTTGACCGGTCACGGAATTTAAGAAAAGATAGAAGACTTTTGAACTTGTGGTGTAAAATGAGGCACATATAATTTGTGTGGTCATAAATCATTACATAAAGGTAAATTGGGCACGGACTAAAAAGTAAATCGGTTCACATAAATTTAAACGGAGGAGGTAGTATGATATGATGATTATTTACTTTTTCGGGCAAGATTGTTTTTGGTTGAAATGGAAAAAAAAAAATCTTTTCTTTATAAGTAAAAAGAGGAAAGTTCTCGATAGTTCAAAAGAACTCAACATAATTAGTTAATGGGAAATTACGTTAAAATTTGACCTTTTATGGAACATATATACATCAAGAACATTGTTTATAAGAAAGTATCAAGCAAAATACGATTATATTACATGTTTGCATAACTTAATCATTTCGGTGTTCAACAACTAAGTCGGTAAAATATGCTTACTATTCATCAGTTTGAGCTTGCATTTTTTCCCTTTAAAATTCATGTTACTCATTACAAACATATTTAATATTATTTATATTTAGAAGTTTATATTAATTGACATGAAATACACGCGCTGCAGAAAAAGAAATAAATGCAAATAATTATTGCGCGAAAAGTTTCTTTAATAATATAGGAGGCATAACTTGATCTTGTTAAATGAAAATCAATTATGAGCTAAAATTTATTTTTCCCCCGCCTATAACCGCCACCAAATCATGATCATAAAATTGAGATTTAATCAAGTCAAAGAAATTACATTATAGTTGAAATATGAGATAATGTTGGAGCTTAATCTTCCTATATGTTAAGCCAGCACTTTATACAAACCAATTCTTTTTTTCTTTTAATTCCCTTATAATTGATACTAGTATTTTGTAACTGGAAAAGCAGGCAATTTTTACCAGCAGAATAAGACGAACTAATTATTCAGAGGAACTATAAACACGGGTCTCCCAATCCTATTTGCAGCAAAATAAGAGATAAATGATCTCTGAATTATACACGAACCCGAAAAGAGTGCATAATTCGGAAGATTAAAATGGCATTTGTTCATGCGTTGAGACAAACTGGAATCTCTTCCATGTCCTCACAAAGAATATGGCATAAAAAACTCCCCTTTAAGGTATCCTTGTAACCTTCTTCATGATGAGGCTTTTGAGAGGAGATTACCAACTGATGAAGTGATAAGAAGGTTCGGCATTCAAGGCCCTTCTAAATGCTATTGTTGTAGAGATGCACAAGAAGACTATATTGCTCACATATTTTTCTCAAGCTGGAAAGCTCAATATGTATGGAAACATTTCAGTCAGCATAGGTATTATTATGTCAAGCAACTTAAAACAGACATTGATGAAATGGTAGTTCATAAAGCCTTTGAAAGAGGCGCACAGTTTTGTTCTCCAATGTGTTCCTTCAATTATCTGTCGGGAGTTGTGGAAACAAAGGTGTGCAGCTAAATATGAAGGTTCATATGCTTATGTACAATGCTTGCTAGATCAAGTGCAATCACTGATAATCATGCTTTTCTTAAAGTTCACTACAAGGGAATCAAATGGCAAAACAACTGGGCTGGGCTGGAATTTGCAAGTTCCTAGAAGGTTTTAAACCTCCAATGAAAGCTCTCAAGGTGATGTAGTCACTTCCTCCTTCAGGTAGACTGAAACTTAACACGGATGGGAGTAGTAATGTTATGAAAAGAGTGTCCGGTATTGGGGGTATTGTTAGGTATAGCAGTGGAAAGCTTGCCATGGCATATGCCAAGGCTCTTCACTTCTGCCCTAACAATACAGCTGAAACACAAGCTGCACTTTTTGGAATTGAGTGGATTGCCTTCAATAGAATTCACAATGTAATTCTAGAAATGAACTCTTTATTGATTGTTAATATGCTTAATTGATCTTCTTCACCTTTCTCGGAGATTCATGATGATATTCTAAAGATGAAAAAGATTATTCAAAGTCATCGAATTGAAGTTTAGCACTGCTATAGAGAAGGAAATTCAGTAGGGGTATATCAAATGGATATGAGGCAAATGCCTTTATTTAGATTCAGGAGATCAAAAATGAAGAACCTGCGGCTAGATTGTTTGTATATATCCTGTGTTTGTACATTTTTTGTAAGCTCAAAAGTCATAGCAACACATGTACATGGAAGACTCACTTCCTACAATCATAGTAGTACTAACATAGCTGGCCATTTTTTATGTTAAGTGATATTGGATTGGGCATGTCCAGTCCTTTTTACTTCACAGAGGAACATAGGCATTTGGTTCCTTTTGTTGTATGTTTCTCGTTTTGGTTATTAATCTACAGGTAGGGGTCTGTCTAACCCCCCGCCAAAATGGTGGTCTTTACAAACAAACAAAAAATGGCATTTGTGATTACAGCAGGTTTTTCTAGTCTTCTTTCTCTCTTACTAAAGAAAACTGTTTAAACTATTGCAAAACTTGAGAGATGGAAAAGGTTGAACCGCTTTGCTTTCAGTAATAAGAACTCGATTCTAACCTCCTGAGAATGCTCCTATACTTTGCAGGGCTATCATACCAAGTAGTTGTATTAATAATTTCACTTTCCAACCAATATGGATCTTCTTTCTTCTCAGTCAGGCTTCTGAAGTAGCTTTCCCACCGTGCGATTGTTCTCCCTAGACGAATACTCTTTTGCCTTAGAAAGATAAACTTGAGAATGTCCTTTGTGAACACATTGATCTCCTCGCCTTCAATTATGTAGATGTACTGAAATGAAGTACAACTTAACAGTCAAGAGTAAGCAAATTACACGTAACAGTTAACAACTTGTTTCATGTGCTATTACAACAACAAGCAGACACTTGTGCTTGGTTTGAAACCCTTTCAAAACATTTTCTTTATTTGAAGCCCTCCACTCCCATCAGATGAGAAATTGGGCGGAAGATCTATCAAAGGCTAAACATAGAATACATGATTATCATTGGCTGTTTCTCTTTATTCAGTAGGTCAAGCTACAACTCTAACTGGTCCATGACTCACCAGAAAGGGTTTAGACAAAAAGGTATTTAGTTAAGTTGGAATAAGTTTTGGATAAGGCAACAACATAACAAATCACTAGCTAAGTTAACCTGCAAGGATTGCCTTTTTAGGGTAACACCATCTAAAGGAATATAAATAGTGAGCTCCAGAAGTATACATATATCTGTGCACAAAATATCGATGAGGGTGAGGGGGAGGGGGAGGGGGCAATTACCAAAAATATGAAGCCCATAGTTGCCAAGACTGCTTGTACTAGCTCATCCAAGATCCCTGGAATACCTTCATCTGGCTCACCAGAACCGTCACTGCCTCCTCCACCACCACCACCAGGGCGATCTCCACCCCCATCCCCTCCTTCATAATATTCTTGTTTTCTTATCTGTTGCTTCAATAAATCCTCAACTGACGGTTCCTTCTTCAAATTTCCCATGGTTTTCTCAAGAGCTTTCCAAGGAGAAGCCTGATCAGATAGTAGTGCCAAGTGAGGTGTTATCTTCTCATATAACAAACATCCATAAGCTTATTTTGCTCAACTCATGATTTTCAACAGAATGTTAGGAGCTACTTTATACTCATTTTTTATGCAGTTTTATGGGAAAGAAAACCAGCTTACGATGCATATGCTGTGCGTTCAAGGAGAAAAGAGACATCTATTGTTAGTTTTTCTTTTTTCAACAACCGTGCTGTCCGGGCCAGCGTGGACACACCTCGACTAATTCCACGGGATACCAGATAACTATGTTCACCAAGGCTTGGACATATGGCACAAAATCACATAGTGTTTTTGCCTCCGCTGGGATTTGAACCTTTCTCACCCACTTCATTGACCACTAGGCCACACCCTTAGGTGCATCTGTTGTTAGCTTTAAAAATGCAGCACAATATATTTATTCTGCATGGATGAAAGACGAGCTGAAACAAATTCACACAAGATTGTAACAAGAAACAGATTTCTTTTGAAAAATAAGGAGAAGAAAAAATGTGAGACGGTCAAATGGGAAGCAAATTATATATGCTCACTGAGCAAATTCAAACGCCCAAATTAAACAAAATAAGAGGAAAAAATAGACTAAACCTTAAAAGATAACTTTATAAGAAATGTTAAAGTTTTCATAAAGCAACTAAAACTAATACACCACACCTGATAAGTTACGGGCACATGACATGCGCAACATATTGGACAGATAACCTAAACAATGTTGGGGTGCCAACTAGCATTCTGTACATGAAAGGTCGTATAGTCAGCAAAGTGTTGCCCACTCCTTAACCTACCTGATTTAGTGAGAGACAAGGAGTGGGCAATTGTAAGATACTACACTATGACATTACCGAGGAATAGGGAGAAAAAGAGTTGGGCAATTAAAAGGGTTGAAAGAGGCACTCTCTTCTTTCACCTTTCTCCTAAAAACTTTTTAACTGTCTTCAATGATTTTAGATTCCATGCCATGGAAAACAAAAGCAATAAAGATCAGAAATTAAGTAGAAATGAGAAGAAAATGACAATAACCACATAGTAAAGGATTATGTTTAGCAGATCTGGGAGTCACAACTGGCCAGTTGATGTTTCTTGATACACGCAAGGAAGTAGAGCCGTCAAAATGGGGTTGGCCCGTGAGGCCGGCCTAACCCAACCCGTAACTTGGGTAGGGGTGGGCTAAGGTTTTTTTAGCCAGTTTAGACTGAGGCTTCAAAGCACCACCATAATCAGCCCGTCCGCCCTTGAGGCTGAGCCGAGGCCAGCGTGTGAGGCCAAATAGAAATAATCAAATAATTAATATATTTCAAAGAAAAAGGTAAAAGGAAAATAGTAAAAGTTCTTAGAACCAAGGCTAAACGCAATCAGTAGCCTACAACTAATGCTACCTTATGCTTTTGTTTGTTTTTCTTTAAATGTGTTTCTTCCTGCACTTGTATTCCTAGATTTTGATTACACAGAAATTTGTAAGATAATTTAATGTGCCTACTCATCTCATCCTTTGAATCCTGTGTCAAAAAATATTCTATTCTTTCCGGTCTCACAAGCCTGGAATCTCTAGTTCCCAAAGGATAGCGGTTAGGTATTCTGGTCTTAGTCTATACACATGATAAAAATGCATATCGTTGCAATGTTGCAGAGTCAGTTTTAACATTTTTTTATATTTCATCTTCTTTATGTGATCTATGAAACAGTAGAAATGTGAGCCTTTCTTGATAGCCATAACAAAAAGGTAACCATAAATCCATGACAATCATCTTTTGAGAAACCTATACTCTCACGATGTCTCAACTATCAAAAAAGACCGGAAAAGGTGCATGTAGCAGAGTGGTAATGATTATATTGGACATGTTTTATAACTTTTAAAAATAAATAAACTGAAGGTCCATTCTGGACCGCTGCCCGCTTAGGGCTGGACTGGCATTTTTAAGGCCCTTTCAAATGAAAGGCGGCCCATCTTAGTCCGTCAAAATTCATAGCACGTGAGGGCCTGGCCATTTTGCTAGCTCTACTAGGAAGCAACCAAGAAGCCTGACAATGGAACATGTTCTATAGTAAAACTGGTTAGTGGTCACATGCATGGAATATAAAGGCTGCCTATGCCTTCCTGAATGCAGGCTATCAAATTTGTAGAAAATCCTCAGAGTTCATAGACGACCCTCTTTTTTTCTAAGTCAAGACTCACGATAACTAAGATTCCAACTGAGGCCTATACTAAGATGCATGTAACAATGGCCTTGCAATTATCTTAGACCCATGGGCCATGATGGCATGATCAGACGGGTCCACACTACACAAGTATAAGGTATGTAAGAATATGCAAGAACACCTTGCACTTATCTTAGTTAACTTGATAGCTTTTACACCCAAATGATCCCAGAAAGTGGGTGGGTAGCCCGGCGCACGAAGCATCCCGTATTCACGCAGGATCTGGGAAAGTGCAAAGAAAATAAAGGGAAGCAAATATACGGGCAGAACCTACACGCCATCTCTTTCATCAGAGGCGGATCCATGATTAAAATTCTATGGGTTCAACTTTAATGTTCTTATCATTAAACTCATGGGTTCATATCTACTAGTTGTTGCAATTTTAGTAAATTTTTACGCATAAATTTATGTTCCGCATCGAAAGTTATGGGTTAAGTCGAACAATGCTAGATCCACCATTGTCTTTCATCTTGGGGTGGTATCCTGGAGGCGTATGCAACTTTGGGGCATCTCCTTCACTTTTTTTGTGATAGGTAACTACGCAAGTACACGACTTTGGAGAATCTCAAAGTAAAACAAAAACCAAACAATATATAACCGTTCCTTAAGAACAAAATCGAAACCACTGTATCTAGTGGGAAACCTTTCTTCTGGTTGGATTAGTTTGTGGGTGGTTTAGACAATGTTACATAAATTAGAATATTTTAATTAACTAGTCAAATTTCCCTTGTCCTTATCAGCAGTTTGAAGTCGTTCGATGCTTGTGGAGGACCCACGAAGGAAATGTTCCCACTATGTCCCGCTATTAGCATCTGGCAACCCACACCCCCTCACCATCGGAGTTGTGTTCAAAAAAATTGGAACTTCTTTTTTGTGGTTTTTACAAATAAAATAAACCTAATCTTGTCTGTGTCAGCTTGCTCACATGGCATGTCCCAAGCCCAAATGAAAAATGAGGGTTCGGGTAGGGTGATAGTTTGAGTAAAACTAGTCAATTTATAATGAATCTACACAATCAACAGAAGAAAAACAAATCCACATGGGCAATACCAAATACTTATTGGTATTTGCTTAGTAATGTCTGTAAGCTTATATTACATCCAGTGTATGCTAGGGTTTTTTTAATCTTATTTGAGATTTTCTTACAAAAAACGTAGAGAACTCAGAATTCTAAGAATCTAGATTTTGGTATATTGGAATAAAATGAATCGGAATGGAGAGAGATGGATAGTGAAGATTCATAAAGCTAACACTAACTAGCTTGAGATTGAGGCGCAGTTGTTTTCGTTTACAAATAAAACAAACCTAAAGCATTTCATAAGTTTGAAAATAACAAACTCGACCAGTAAAAGAAACCATCAATCTGTGGCGACTTGCTCTGGTTTATAAACCATCAATATGTGGCGACTTGCTTTGGTTTATTTTGGACAATTTGGGCAGTTTCATGGTTTCTTTGTTCGCCGCTAGTTATTCCTCCGAGTAAAGATATTAAAAGTAATTGACACACATGCAAAATGAACGATCATCCAAAAGAGTATTACCTCATTGTCATTGCTTGCCTTCCCCTTGCCACCAAATAAGCATACAGTTTTGCACAGCTGCGGTCTGTATACACCTACTTTCGCATTAAGGGAGATTTTCGGGAGTCTTGTGCCCAGATAAGTTGAAGATAATGTGCTCAGTTTTGAAGTCCTTTTTGGAGCAGTGAATGATGGAAAGGAGGCATTGAAATCGCAGGCAGGATGGCAACTGTTTATGCGAACGCAGCTCATCTCATCAAATAACCAGTCACTTACAAGACCTAATCACATTATTCAAACAGTAGTTTCAGCAAATCAATGTACATTTTTCCCCAACATTGAATGATTTAATAGAAGCAATGCTTTACGCCAAAAAAAAAACACTCTAAAACCTAATTCAATCTTATAAAAACCCTAAAACACTACTTTGAGTCCTGAGCTTGTCAAACCTTAACTTTTGAGGATTTTACCTACTTCGGCAAATTGTAGTTTTGAATTCAAATTTTTGTAATCAGAATTTCAGAGCAAGAAGTAAAAGACTGAATCTAAAGGAGGAGAATATAGAGTTTACCGGAGAAATTAGACGCCGGCGGGAAAGTGAACAGAGATAGAACCAATGGAGTTAACTTCGACAACAGAGATAATAAGATAACGTGACGTTACTATCAGTGCAGCCTACCTACATAAGAGGGTGTTTGGGTGGATTTTTGACTTATCAATTTGGTTTGGTATACATAAAAAAGGTTTTAAGTCAAAACATGCTCAAATTTATACTAGCAGATATAAGTATTTTGACTCTTTTTCCTTGCATTTTTTTGGACTAATTTGAACCTTTTTTCTACGAAAATTTTGATTTTGAGGTCTACTACAAGTATTATTTTGTTTATGACCAATACCTACAAGAAAGTAATAAATAATAAAAGAGATTTCTAAATAAAACACAAAAAATATACATAAGCTCATTTTCTTCTAATTGTAAATGCTTAGGAGATCATTTCTTACTTTTGGATATCCAAAATAGTCGATTACTTAAATTTTATATGTTTATCTACCTTAGGTGTGGTAAATAATCTTTTAGAAAGTAAAAGCACAATTACAGTAAATGAAGGATAAAATGGATATCAAGTTTGGCTTTGAGAAAAAAAAGATCACACGTGTCTGGGTCTCTGCTAAACATTATTTGTAGTAGACTTTTCACATGCTTTCCTAATAGATTCTTTATCATTGTTGTTTATATGTTCGCTAGTTTTTTGTCGATCTCATATGAAAAAATAATTTTATTAGGTCATTTCAAAAAATGATCTTTATTGATTGAGCTTTCTTAGGGGTGTCAATGGATATTTAAAAACCGACCGAACCGTACCGTACCGAACCAATTTTTAAGTTTCTTTTGATAAAACCGTAGGTTTTTATATAAATTTATAATCGTACCAATAATTAGGGTAGGTTTTTTATTTTATGAATATAAACCGAAAAAATATTGAACCGTACCGAATAAATATATTTATATATTATGTTTAAAAATAATAATGCATTATTTTTTCTTAGGCTTTCGAACTATGAAAACAGTTACAAACCAACAAGTAATTAAACTCAAAATCCTAATTCCCAAAACTTACTATGCTACTCCTATTGAAATTAAATTATTTCCAGCTATTCACTAGCAAGACACAAGGTATTTTAGCAATTATGTGTAACAAACTACAATTTATTGAATATGTTTCCTTTCGTATGATTCAGATTTATTTTTTTGAATATTTAATCTATTCTTGAGTCTCAACTTCGTTAATATCTTTCCACTCGTGTGATTTATATTTTTTTTTGTATTTGCTTAGTTTCTTTTACGCTACTGTAGAATAGTTGATGGATCTATACTTTGGTAATCTTTCATATTTAAAAATGTCTAGAGAGTTTTGATAAGTCATATAAAAGTACGTATGTTATAGCAGTCTTCTTCTACAGGTGACTTTTACATGACATTAAAAAAAATCCAAAAATTAACCGAACCGTACCGATACCGAAGAGAAACCGACATGGTCGGGACGGTTTCGAAAAGTCTAATTTTGGTTATACATAATAGAATAACCGAAAAATTGGTATGGTATAAATTTTATAAAATAACCTGCTGAACCGAACCATTGACACCCCTAAGCTTTCTTAGCATTAGTTAGAAAATCTTGAATCTTAATACGCCAAATCTTCAACGATTGTAAAACGTTATATATATATATAGAGAAAGAGAGATACATTTTTTGGCACAATTAAGGGTATGAACAGGAGGACTTAAGACACAACTTTTTCCATTTTTCCCCCTTAATACTAGAATCGAGATCAAAATTTTCATCAAAATAAGTTTTCGCTTAACTTCAAAGATCGATGAAATTAAAGCTGAAAGCTATTTTCATAATATTCTGTCATTTGTAAAGTCTATTCTTAATGAATTGTGAATGGCGAGTTCATTAAAAATCAATAACTCCAAAAAATCAATTCAAAATTAACTTAACAGACTAATTTATTCTAGACACAATTTAGAATTAACTTCAGAAATCATAAAAAATTTTATTTTATTTGCTATTAAATAAAGATAAATTGAACCAAAACTAAGCCAAGTTGACAATATCTATGCACACACAATGCGAGTATTTATAAATTTTGGGATTAAATAAATTTTATTATGTTTTAGTAATTATATTGACAATAGCTGTCGTGTTTAGGGGTGGGCGTTCGGTACTCCGGTTCGGTATTTAATAACTACGGTTCGGTACTTCGGTATTCGGTATATCAATTGTCCGTACCAAATAACATACCAAAGTAGTTCGGTACGGTTCGGTATTTTCTTATTTGGTTCGGTACGGTTTCGGTATCATACCAAAGTCTTTCAAATCTCCCAAGAATCAAGATTATGCCTAACGTGAAACGTCTCTCCCGTGAGCTAAATCTTACTTCGATCAAGTTGTTCAAGCTTCTAAAATGTAGTAACAGCACTGTGTTGGGATATGATGCTATAATAAAAGAGGAATATGTAACTACAATTAATTAACTACATCAATGTAGTCACTAGTCTTCGAAAATGAGGGGAAGTCTTCGAAAAAGATAAGAAACTGGAAAGCTGTACAATAACAAATTAACAACACTGTGACGTTTTGTAGTATTTGGCTATTTGTACAGCTCTTTTACTTTGAGACCTCATTTCATAGACCACTTTTGCTTTGAGACCTCATTGTACAGCTCAAGAGCTGCTTTGAGACCTCATTTTTTCAGTTTCTGATTTTCTGTATCCTCTCAAGAAAAGCAGTTTCAGTGTTGATTCTGTTGAACCATAAAGAGCAACTAACAGTCCAACCAAATGCTTGGTTCGGTACACTGAAACAGTGCTGTTACTACATTAGAAAAGCAGCTCCTGAGAAGCTTGAACAGTGCTGTTACTACATTAGAAAAGCTTGAACAAACTTAATACCACATTACCAAACACATAAAATAGTAAACTACAGCAGATCAACCAAACATGAAACACCTGCCAAACAACAGACTTAATTGAAAATATTCAAGATGTCTGGTCCATTAGAGAGAAAGACAGAAAGTAGCCTTATATTACTGCTTACTAAGGAAATCACTATCAAAATTTCAACACCTCAACTGCTGCTTACAACTTACAAGGGCGGTAAAATCACTATTAAAATTTCAAGAAAAAATAAAGAAGTTGAAGAATGAAGAAGGCGAGAAGCTGTAAACCTGTTGAAGATTGAACATTAAAGGTCAGTCGCCGATGAGAGAACTGAGAAGTCGTCGTCGACGAGGAGAGAAGTTGCCGTCGCCGAGGTCTCTGCCGCACAATCGGCGGTCGAAGGCTCGAACTCGAACTCACAGGTCACAGCGCGGGTCAGCGTCAGAGAATTGAGGGAAATGTGAGAGGTTGAAAATCTTATCCAGCCCTAGGGATGCTAATTCCTAATTTTCTATTGTTAGCTTAAGTAGGGTTGGACTTGGGCCCAAGGGTTTGGGCTCAGCAGTATCTTCTTTATGTTGGGCTGCCCTGGACTATTTGGAAATTGGGATAAACTATTAAGCCTAATATTTCGGTATTTCGGTATACCGAAATATCAAAACCGTTCACAAAATTAACTGATTTGAAAATATATATTTTTAATATTTAACTTTAACAAATAAATTTGATTTAGATTATTATTTAAAAATCTATCTATAATTAAAAGGAAAAGAAAAAATATTCTCATTTCGTCAAGTGTCATCGTCAAAATATGTCACATGACACTTTAGGGCAACCCTCCAAAAAAATAGAGGAGCAATAAAATTATTTGAAAAAAAAACTCCTTCACAAAATTAACTGATTTGGAAATATATATTTTTAATCTTTTACTTTAACAAATAAATCTGATTTATATTATTATTTAAATATTAAAAGTTAAAAATTGACCATTTTAAAACATACGTTTTTTTACTCTTTAGCATTGAACCATAAAGTCCGAACTTGTTTTTTAAAGGAGCTTTATTTAATTCAAAATTTAAGATTTTTTTAAAATTATCTGATTTTAAAACATACATCTATCTATCTATAATTAAAAGGAGAAGAAAAATAATTCTCATTTCTCCAAGTGTCATCGTCAAAATATGCCACATGACACTTTAGGGCAACCCTCCAAAAAAAATAGGAGCTATAAAATTATTTGAAAAAAAAACTCCTTCACAAAATTAACTGATTTGGAAATATATTTTTTAAAATCTTTAACTTTAACAAATAAATCTAATTTAGATTGTTATTTGAAAAACTATCTATAAATTATAAGGAGAAGAAAAAACATTCTCATTTCGCCAAGTGTCATCGTCAAAATATGCCACGTGACACTTTAGGGCAACCCTCCAAAACAATAGGAGCTATAAAATTATTTGAAAAAAACTCCTTCACAAAATTAACTGATTTGGAAATATATTTTTTTTAAATCTTTTACTTTAACAAATAAATCTGATTTAGATTATTATTTAAAAATTAAAAGTTAAAAATCTATCTATAATTAAAAGGAGAAGAAAAAACATTCTCATTTCGCCAAGTGTCATCGTCAAAATATGCCACATGACACTTTAGGGCAACTCTCCAAAAGTTTAGGAGCTATAAAATTATTTGAAAAAAACTCCTCACAAAATTAACTGATTTGAAAATATATATTTTTAATCTTTTACTTTAACAAATAAATCTGATTTAGATTATTATTTAAAAATTAAAAGTTAAAAATTTACCATTTTAAAACATACGTTCTTTTACCATTGAACCATAAAGACCGATTTTTTTTTAAAAAAAAGAGCTTTATTTAATTCAAAATTTAAGATTTTTTTTAAAATTAACTGATTTTAAAATATACATCTCTCTTCTCTCTATAATTAAAAGGAAAAGAAAAAACATTCTCACTTCGCCAAGAGTCATCGTTAAAAAATGCCGCATGACACTTTAGGGCAACCCTCCAAAAATATAGGAGCTATAAAATTATTTGAAAAAAAACTCCTTCACAAAATTAACTAATTTGGAAATATATATATTTTTTATCTATCTATAATTAAAAGGAGAAGAAAAAATATTTTCATTTCGCCAAGTGTCATCATCAAAGTATGCCACATGACACTTTAGGGCAACCCTCCAAAAAAATAGGAGCTATAAAATTATTTGAAAAAAAATTCCTTCACAAAATTAACTGATTTGGAAATATATTTTTTTAATCTTTTACTTTAACAAATAAATCTGATTTAGATTATTATTTAAAAATTAAAAGTTAAAATTTGACCATTTTAAAACATACATTTTTTACTCTTTAGCATTGAACCATAAAGACCGAACTTTTTTTTAAAAGAACTTTATTTAATTCAAAATTTAAGATTTTTTAAAAATTAACTGATTTTAAAATATACATCTCTCTTCTCTATATAGTTAAAAGGAAAAAAAAAACATTCTCATTTCGCCAAGTGTCATCGTCAAAATATGCCACATGACACTTTAAGGTAACCCTCCAAAAAATAGGAGCTATAAAACTATTTGAAAAAAAACTCCTTCACAAAATTAACTAATTTGGAAATATATATTTTTTAATCTTTAACTTTAACAAATAAATCTGATTTAGATTATTATTTAAAAAACAAAAATTGACCATTTTAAAACATACGTTGTTTTTTTTTTTTGTTAAACTATCAAATTTTATTTAACCAAGGATAATATTTACATCCGCTAGCTCAATTGGACTCTAGAGCTAGACCCTATCCAATATCTATACAAAACTGATAAAAAAAACAGAATTGACCAAACATTTTTCTTCTAATAAGAGTACCTAGCTTTTGTTGTATACCTTTCAACTTAAACTAGCTAGGGAAACTATGTAGCCTTTCTAACTCTTTTTGCCATTTGACTTCTATCTGCCTTCGGATGTGCAAATCCAATACAATTTCTTTGATCCTCTTGTTGCATATTGTCTTTTTTCCTTGAAATCTTATGTGGTTTCTCTCAGCCCATGTGTGGTAGACCACTGCTGCAAATAGAAATACTAACATATCACCCCTGACTTTGCTGGTAGCCCTTTTTGTTATCTATTCTATCTCCTCATCCCAGCTTCCTAACTAATGTCTTTCTCCTATCCACTGCAGTAATGTAGCTCATATGATTTTGGAGTAATCACATTCAAACATCAGGTGTTCCCTTGTCTCCTCAATATTTTTTTTCACACAGTACACAGTCACTTATTACTGATATTCCCCATTTCTGTAGTCGATCAACTGTGGCTAATCTTCTATGTAATGCTAGCCAAAGAATGAAGTGATGTTTTGGCAATGCTTTATGATTAATCTTTTTCACGGACTATTCTGGTATTGAGGTCTTGTTGCAATGTAGAGCTTTTTAATGCTGAATTTTTCTTGCTTGCAGTAGCTGTTCAGATCATCAGTGGGGCTCTTTTGACTGTACCAGTCCCTAGCATCAAATATCTTCCTAACAAGCCAACAAGCATGTTTAGGAGTACTCATAGTCCCAACACTTCTGTCTTTTATATAAAAGTTGTGGATCCATAGGGTATCATTCTTTGTAGTGATAGCCCACAGCAGCTTGCATAGGGCAGCCTTATTCCAGGAGTAAATATCCAAAACATTAAACCCACATGCTGACATTGGCATACAAATTGTATCCCAAGCTATCAAGGCCTTTCTAGATGGTTCACTCCTTCCTGACCATAGAAAAGTTCTACAGGTTGTGACAATTAATTTGATGATCTTCTTTGGCAATAGGAATACATGTGCCTAGTATGTTTGCATTTCAAATACCATACTTTTGAGTAGCTGAAGTCTTCCACTATATGACAAGAATTTGGCTGTCCAACAATTAATTCTGACATTGATCTTCTCAACCAATGGCATCCATTGTTGTATAGACAATTTCTTGGAAGACAATGGCACTCCTAGATACTTGAATGGTAGCTCTCCTAGTGTGAATTGCATTTCTTCTAGAATCATTTCTTTGAACTCCTTAGGAACCCCAAAAATATACAGTGCACTCTTCTCCATGTTGGCCTTGAGACCTGAGACCTCAGAGAAGTGAGTGAATCTTTTCAGTAATAAGCTTATAGAAATCTTGTCTGCTCTACAATATAAAATCAAATCATTAGCAAAGCATATATGGGTTATGTTATTTCTAGAGCATTTTGGATGGTAGTTAAAGTCTGGGTTGTGCTTCAACTTCTTTAACGATCTATTTATATACTCCATCACCAATACAAACAGGTAAGGAGACATTGGGTCTCCTTGTATTAGCCCTTTCTTTGCTTGGAATTTAGCTGTTAGTCCCTCATTCAATAGCAAGGAGTAACTGACAGTGGTCACACAATCCATTATCAACTGAACAAACTTCACAGGCATTCTAAATTCAAGCAGTATCATCCTTAAAAAAGGCCACTCGACTGAGTCATAAGCTTTCCTTATGTCTACTTTTATGCAACATCTTGGTGAGACCCCTTTCTGAGTATATCCTTTGACCAGTTCATGTGCAATAATGATATTATCCAATATTTTCCTTCCTTCAATGAATGCTGATTGAGCAAGTCCCACAATAGTGATAGCATCCTAGGAAGCTCAAATCTATTCAAGGACAAGAATAAAGCTTTGGGATCTCAAAGAGGGCCTTTAACAAGATGTCAAGCTAAAGAGTTACAAAACAAGGTCATTAGACTTCAAGTGCAAATAAAGAAGTTGTTAATTGGGATGGAGAGCTCAAGGATAAAGGATATGAGTTATCTAGGTATTATAATTATTTTATGGTCCAAATTCATGTCCAAGAAAAGGTGGATTATATCCCAAAAGACATCCTCTAAAGAAGGTCCAGATCAGGCCACTATTGGACCTATTTGGAACCTAAAAATGTGTCCAAACTTGCAGCCCAATAAGTCCTACATGAAGCCACGTTTTTATAACATAAAAAGGACTTACTTGCTGCCCAAGAAAGGCTCAATAGGCGTGATAGAAGTTAGGTACAAGTTGGTGCCAAGTTTCTTACAAGTTGCCTTCAAGATTTCCAAGATCCTATTCATGATTGGTTTGGGACTTTCAAGATT